CATTGTGATAAATATGCAAGACTGTTGTTAGAAAGAGGAGATATGAACTTCTCTTCTAGTGAGCTCAAGCTGTTTTTTCAAAGTTCTTAAGTCTGAAAAACAGAGATTATTATTAAGAGTTATGTTCTTGATATGCATTGTATTGCCTGGAGGCTGTGTAACCCTGAGGTGTACTTAATGTTTTCTTCCTGATTTTGTTTTTCTTAGGACTGACTCAAGTCCCTCAGGTTCAAAAGACAGAAATTTCCTTTACTTTCGGTGATGCCAAAAGTTACGATCTGTATGTAAGGAACCTCGAGAATTTCTTAAAGGACTACAGTGCTGATCAACAAACTGAAAACATAGTATTTCAGGACTGTGGGGGTAAGTCTCGATTGTTTCCTATAGGATTCTGACTGATGCTTCTGTGTCAGGTTCACCAGAAGCTGAGAGTGAGCAGTGGTGGGCTTGGTCTTCAGCTGTTCCCTTTATTGCAGCCAGAGGCATGTTGGTAAACTGGCAGGTTCTGGTTTCAGTCATATGGCTGCTCATTAATTTTGTTTGGACAAGACCACAGCTTATTGTAGAGGTTATATGGCTGGCTCCCACATTTCACTTGGAGAAAGTTGCAGCTGACTCTCTGAAGCACGTGGTGCTGACCTTATCCTCTCTGAAAGCCATGGGGATTTTACTCACAACTTTGCTAAACCCAGTGTTGGTCCTCTTGAGGAGATGCAGCCAAACATCTGGGAAGTGTTAACCTTTAATAGGTTATATTGAATCATGTAAATGAGACTATCACCTCATAATATGTGCATATCAAATCTGAGGGGAACCTGCTTGTAAAAGGTGACAAAAAAAAAAAAGAATCTCTGAGACAGGTGAATTCAAATCTTCTCTTGTGTTCTGGAAGTTATAAAACAAATCCCCGTGAAAAGTTGCTGGTCTGGGACCAGCCCGCACGTGGCAGGCAGTCTGTGGTGTCACTTAACTGCCTGGGCAAGGGGGAAATCCAAACTACACTGGGAAGTATAAACATTGCTGTTCCTGACAAGCAAAAGATCACATTGCATATGGTTTCCTTTTCATTCCCCTGCTGTGACAGACGCACCTTCTGACTACAAAGAGAGAGGACCATATAATGATGTCCAGGGTCAGAAGAAGGTCTGCAAATTCAAACGTGAATGGCTGGAAAACTGTTCTGGATTAAGCGATCCCACCTTTGGGTACAGGGATGGCAAACCATGCATCCTTGTCAAGCTCAACAGAATTATTGGCTTCAAACCTCAGGCAAGTATCTCTTCCCTTTCTAGCAGAAGCTACTGATCAGGAGGAGGAGTTGGCTGCAGGTTTGCTGTGCCTGCTTTTGTGTCTCTGGAAAGAGATCAGTATTAAGCCCTTTCTGTAGAGGATAAATTTTGAGACCATTTAAGTAATTGAGTTTAAAAACACTTTTCATTACAAAGCAGTGAAAACTGGTGCACGTCAAGATGGTAACAAGTAGCAGTGAACCTCATAGTACAACTTCCTGGTTATTGATCTGGTAACTTCTGAGCCTGCTAATGGAGTTCCTGTAACAGGCTGTTTTGTTCAAACCATAAACCCCATTTTAAATTACTGTATGATTCCATAGGACCATCCCAGACCAACTCCATCTGTAGTAACATTAGTACTTTGTGTCATGCCCTGATCCACTCCATTCTTTCCTCAGGCAGTGTAGACTTGTCTGCCTTGCTAAAACTGCTTAATTAAATGATGGAGTGCTAATATTAACAACCAGACTGAAACACAGGCTATAAAGGGTAAACCACATTTGAAAGTCAGGCACAGCTGCAAGAACGGTGAGGAGATCTATAGGTTATTTAATGTGATTTCCCAGAGGCTATAGGATGTCTCTGTCACCTGGTTGCTCTGTGCTGCACCTGAAGGCAAATTTGCAGTAATGCTGAAGGATGTTAATCTGGACATGCATGGCTTTTATTTCTGGGTTTTTTCCCCAACACATTTAGATGCTAAAAATTTCTTCAAGAATTCAGTGTCAAAGCATGTGCTGTTGAATAAGGTGGTGTGCAAAACCTGCCACTCCATCTTCTGGAATGGACAACAGTGCAAATGGTGTGCTACGCTGTTTTCACCATCTGTCAGGGCAGTCGAGGAAAGGGAATGGTGCAGTCTAGCTAACAAGTCCTGAGGAACATTCTTCTTCTAGTGGAGCCTGTCCTGTGCTAAAATAAATGAGTTTAATTCTGGTTTATCTGATTTATGGTGAAAACAGTGAGTGCATTTTAGAAGGAATGTGCTGTGTTTGGTATGTAGTGGCTGTGGGATGACATGAGGTTTGCATGTTTGGCTGGGGAAGCGAAGGGCTTGGTGTGTTCCTCTTTTCTTTGCCATGGAGCTCTGGAGAGCTCTAGACTGCATTAGACAGGAGGCTCTAGTCAAGGCATGACTTTTCACGTTTCATTTAGAAATGACA